TATATATGTATAACTGCCTTATATGAAGCGTGAAATGTAGTTTGAGCCAATTTGTTTACTGTCAAGAAATCTGCAAGAGGATAGGCCTATTTTAAAACAGAAATAGTAAGGAGTTCTAAAATGGTGGCTATGGGTACAATCCAGCATGATATATGAGTCTGCTGGCAGCGAAAGTTCTCATCTTCATTGAGTGACTTGGAGAAGATACAGACAAAAGAGCAAACAGCCCATCAGCCATAGAAGTATCAGAGAAGCTTTTGATGTGCTGGACTAACCTGGCGATTTACATCCTATATCAACAAATAATAATGATATAGTATTTGTTATAATATTATAACAATATTATAATGTTACAATATTTATTTATTTCAACTGTAGTATGATATAAAGAAGGCGGGGAGCCTCCTCAGCTGATGATGGCAAAGCATTGCCTCCTTGGTCTCCTTCTCCTTGGTGGTCACGGACACAGGAAAGGATGACTTGGTGGACAGTCTGTTTAGCATCCAAGGAGATGGTGGAGTCAAAATAAAAACATTAAACTAAGGGCAGGTTAGAAGCGAGTGATGGTGTGTGGAGATAAGATGGCCCATTGACCCTGGAAGGAGTAAAAGACCATGCCCTCTTCAAAAACTGCACCAATGAAATTTTTCTGCAGAAAATGAAAGAGGAATTTGGATCTGAGTTTATGGAGGGCAGAAAGCCATTAATGCTGATGGAACAGGTGGTAATCTATGCTTTTATGACTCCAGTGTTCAGCAAGTAAAAAACGAGGCTTTGCCAGGTGCAGAGAAGCTGTAGCCAAAATAATACCTCAGACACAAACAGTAGATACAGTAGATATGTGCAGGAGTTCTGCCAGGCGAACAGGTGATCTATGGCAGCATGTTTTATCAACCTCATTATAATAGAGTTAATAGAGTCATATAAATATTTTATAATAACCTTCTATGTCAGTTGACATCCAGTTTGTGTGTCCTCTGTTATTTACCTACGTGTTTGTTTCCATTTTTGACCATATTTTGGCCATATAAAAATTGGTGTTTAATTTCTACTGTCATGTTGATATATTTGCTATAGATTTATCAGTTGCAGTGTTTGGCAAGCTCATTGGTTTAATGACGATGACTGGTATAAGTAAAAACCTGCAGCTTTGTCTGGCAAAAATAAGCTAAACAAATCTGTTTTATTGCATTTGTTTAAATATTGTTCAGATAATTGCAGCTATAAACTTACAAAGTGAGGTTAATGCAGTAGTGAAAATTTCGGCTTTGAGAGCTCGTTAAATGTTAAAATTAAAAGGTAAAGGTCATGTGAAATTGATGTGAAAATTTCTCGTTCTATTATAATTTTAGACCATGTTTCAGTTTTAAGCTAAAGTTAAAGACAACTAAAAGTTAAATGGGACATGTATAAAGAAAAAGAAATGAACAAAATTAAAGAGCCCCAGCAGACCAGTGTTTATCAAATTCTCTTGTCATACACATGATGCCTACACATTTTTTTTACTTACACTAATTTCATGCCAAAAAGTCTCTTGTGGGCAGCAGCAGAATGACTGCAGTTGCCTTTCTTTGATGGGATTAACTCCAGCAAATACCAAGTACAGATGTGGCTTTTTTTACTCTTTGCACATGAAATCAATGTAAAAAGATTTACTTAGACCACACTGGAAAATCCTTAATCTAGAAATAAGTAATTATTTCTTAAATTCAGTTTATTTACCGGTACCCTCACGTTGAGTAGGTTAATAAGATGATCTGCCAATGGAATGAGTATTTTTAACTCTTAAAACAAGATATTTAGATAAAATGCACTTGAAATAAAACAATGCCATTGTGTTTAATTATTTTAAGTGTAAATTGTCTTGTTCCATTGACAAAATGTTTTTTTACCTCCTCAATTCAAGATCAAATGCAATTATTTTAAGAAAAGATTACTTATCTAGATTTAGATTCTTTTTTCCAGTGTTGCTAACATTTGAAATTAATTTAGTTTTGTTTAAAAGCCATTTATAGCAAAAGTGTGATTCAGTTCCAGTAAAACAGAGCTGGATTTGAAAGGGAGGTATCTGACATAAGTAACTACAATCAGTTTGAAAGTAAAAGCATCACAGTGACTTTTCAAGTAGACCCTAAAGTGAAAAGGGGAAATAAGGATTCTTTTGCACCAATAAATTTCATCCAATACCAGAATTAAATTTTCTGATAGCATGGTTTTAAGCTAAGATACCAAACAACATTTTCCGTCTTTTGCAGATTTTACCCCACACAGTTTTCCACACAGCTGCTCTGAGTGAGGGGCTTGCCCACAGGTATAGTGAAGGAGTGCACAGAGCGTTGGTCCTTGATAGGATTTTTAGAGGATTGACTGCATCATTTCTAAATAACCTGTGTCTCCCTATCAGTGATGACAGAATTGAGAAGAATAAGCTCGGGCCCCAGAAGAGCAGGAAAAACACAACTACCAATATTATGATCAACAGGGACTCTTTCTTGTTGTCTTTCTCCGGTCCTGGAGGCTCTCGGAGAAGCTGGTATCTGACAACAACAAAGAGTTTAATAGTCATAGAAACTTTGAGTATAATAATTATAAAAATGCTTATTCTGCTGTACACTGCAATCTCCATAGCTTTAGACAGTGGGACCAGACGCTCGAGGACCAACTGACCATAGACATGCACCCAGGTATAGACGCTCACACAGATAACAACCTTTGTGGAGATAAAACGAGCATAAAAGAATGGATGGCAAACTGCAAAATATCTGTCAAACTGAGCAAACAAAAACGTAATGATGTTAACCCCGAGAAGAGATGGTAAAATATAGTAACTCCCGTTTTTAGAAGGATAATCTTCCCTTACATCAAACAGAAACTGGTAGAAAATGCCACATCCAGTCAGTGTGTCAGAGATGCTGGTGTTTAACATAAATATAAAGCGATTCTGGATTAAAAGAGCCCGAGTGGAAATTATGCCGCAGACCACGGAGCCCGCAACAAGCACGGTGCTGATCCCCGCTAGGATGTGAAAAATGAAAAGAAAGTAGTCACCCGGTGAGTCAAAGTCAACGCACAGAGGTACAAAAGTCACATTGGTGGACAGGGTCATAATGGGGAGGTACAGCGAAAGCCGCCCCAAATGATCTGCTACCAAAGCAAAAACATCGCGTCTGTTTTATAGATGTAGATCTAATCCTGCTGGTGTTGAGGGATTGGATTCGCTTGTCAACATGTATGCATTACTAATTATTGTGTTCAGTCACCTTAATGTTGGGGGGAACAAAACACGCCAAATTAGCGGCCAGGTCGCTGTCCAGTGCTGAAACAAATTCGCTGAAATGACAACCCTCTGTTGGTTCTGATAATGTTTCGATACTTTAAAAAGAAAAGGCTTTTAGAATTTACTTTATGTAAAGTTAAAACGGGGAGTCTAAGCTGATGAAGAATGTTTCATTTATATACATCGACTTGGTTATTATGCAGCATTTAACCATGCTTCAGGGAATGGCGAATTACTAATGAAGTGCTATTCAATTCAATACATGGTCTTTATTAAGTTCGAGCACTTTGTTTTTTGTTTGTTTCTTTTACGCATTTAGTAAGAAAATACATTTTAATTTAGTTATTTTTTTACATTCTACTGATAGGGTTTGGGAAAAGCTGGATGGCTCAAGAAAAAAAAATTTCACTGGATGATGGCGTGTCTAAAATAGTTTGATCAGGGGTTGCGACCTGACATATTTAAGTCAAAGGGCCCAAATGGTGTTTTGATTAGAAATAAAACCTAATACAAAGTTGCAGTGATAATATATAATCTAATTAGTCAGTCTTCGTGTAAAACAGGAAAACCTCTATAACAATTTCCGCCATTTATGAAAATACGTTGCTTCAACACACACACACAAAAAAAACACGATTTAGGTATATTATCAATTTTTTTTTTTATTATTTTTTTTTTTTTACATTTGCGAAATAAAGAAAGGGGAAGTCGAACTAAACAGAAGCAATGTACGAGTCAGTTGGGCAACCTGGGATCTGAAAGACAACTATTATAAAACCGAATGTAATCTTAATTTTTATCTCTAAAATTGGATAAGATCCAAGCATTTTGAGAAGATTTTTACAAATAAAAATGTAAAGAATATAGAATCCTTAAAAGGAACAAACCGCAGGTTTGCTAAGAAACGATTTTTTTTTTTTTTTTTACATAACCAAAAAGGAAGAAGGATTAGATCTCTGTGTATTGAATGGACGGGAAATGATGCACAGCGTCATGCGTTTATTTACAAGACGCTGAATGATCAGCTGCCTCCCTGGCAATTAATCATTTTGGTGAAGAAATAGTCCTACTACGTATTTTGAGAAAAGCGTCAAAAGCTATTACAGGTTATTTTTGTTCCCATTTCCATGTAGTGAGCAGTCAGAAAGCAGAAAGCAGTCTGTCGTGTTTAAATAGCTAAATATGTTTCAAGTAAACTAATATTCTATCACATTCCATTTCCCCATTTGTCACTTGAAGTTGCGGGTCTTAAGTAGGCCTACTGCCATTTTTCCCCTCGCTGTCATGTGTTTCTTTATGTTTCATCTGTGCACTGTCACGTGCAAATTTTCCACTCTAAAGTTATATTTCCTATTTCATATTTATGTTAAAGCAAGCCAGCCCTAACTATAGCAAAGACCTGTGGGTTTTGATGCCAATACCATCTGAATAGGCCTTTCTCATCTTAAGCGTCTCAACAATTCCCTCGTAGTTTCATTTCAGTTTTATGAAATAGAGGAGTGAAGACATGCCCATTTATTTTTCGCTTTTGTTCTTTAACATTTCGTTACACACATTTCAGTCTACGTTCAGTCTTACGTCTTAAAAAGCAAAACCTATTATTTCAAAAAGCAATTGAGGCCAGGAGTGATTCTGATCTCCTATGGTGTGCTTTAACTAACTAAATATTTCGAATATACAAGAGAAACGTTTGTCATCTCTGGACCAAAATTATTGATCAGCCATAATTATACAGGTAGCTCACTACATTATTGCTCGTAAAAAAAAAATAATAAAAAAAATAATAAAAAAAAAAAAATAATAATAATAATAATAATAATAATAATAAAGTAAATGTTTTTTTGTTTTTGTTTTTTCTTTTAGAGCACCGTTCATGATGCAGATTACGAAGTGCCACAGAAACTAACTGAAAGATTCCACATCGATACACCGAACTGGTTAATTAAAAGCAGCAGTTAAAATAATAGTTTTTAGTCAGATTTGAAAGTTTCCGCCAACTTCAAACCGAGGGGTCGGGGGGAGGTTGCAGGGTCTGCAAAGCATCGAGAACCGTTCTCAGTCAAAATAAAAGTGACAATAAATAGGACATTAGAAAAAAACAAATGCTGATCTTCTGACTAGCTCCAGAAAAAAAAAATCACCAACATGCGTTATTAAAGAACAGCATACATTAACATATGACGGAGGGAAATGCCTCCGCATCCAGCTATTAAAAAGGAGATCCTGTAATTTTATATTGTTTATTTTGGAGTCTTTGCGATGTCTCAGTGGTGGAGATTGTGTTTCATTATAAATATTCCATCCATAAATCATAAATCACATCCTGCAAGACAAAAAGCAACCAAAACAAACATCAGGCTAAAAGAAACACAATTGCTTGCTATTTTCATTTTCTTAAATACCAATTAAACAGAAAAAATTCTTCTAGAATCACTCCAAATTACACAAAAAAGTTAATACAAATAATTTAAATGATTCTGCTAATTAACAGAAAAACTGAACACTTAAAAAAATAATTTCACACACCTCATGGCGAGATCCTTCTTGAAATTTTGGCGACTTTTCTAGACCTGACAAAAAAAAAAAAAATACCACTTTAGTGTTTAATAACACTAAATAATCTATTGCTGGAGCAATAGATTATTTGTTATTTTGCATGCAAAAAAAACAAATCCCCCCATTGAGTAATGCGTGAGATTTATCAGAACCAACAGATCCAAATTATCACAAATATGTTCCCATCATGCCATGTATGTGGAGCAAAAAACATCTCTTTATCTTCTAAGCAATTAAACGTAATTATCTAAAGGTTTGTGTCTTTACAAAAGTGTTACCAACCGTGTGTTTGTTTTGCAGCAGCAGATTTTACTCCACACAGTTTTCCACACAGCCGCTCTGAGTGAGGGGCTCGCCCACAGGTACAGAGAAGGAGTGCACAGAGCGTTGGTCCTGGATAGGATTTTCAGAGGGTTATATGCATCGTTTCTGAAGAAGACGTGTTTTCTTATCAGTGTGACAACAACCGTGTAGAGCATGCTTGGACACCAGAAGAGCAGGAAAAACAAAACTACCGCTATTATGACCAGCAAAGACTCTTTCTTACTGTCTCTCTCCGGGCCTGGAGGCTCACGGAGCAGCTGGTATCTGGCCACGAAGAACAGTTTGACAGTCATAGATACTTTGATAAAGATTATGACAAATATACTCATTCTGATATAAATGACCATATGTGAGAGTTTAGATCTAGGCAACAGGTGTTGGAGAAGCCCCTGACCATACATGTGAACCCAGCTGTAGGCGTTCACACAGATGACAACCTTTGTGGTGATGAAGCGACCGTACATGTAGGGATGGCACACAGCAAAATATCGGTCAAACTGCGCGAATAGAAAGGTCAGGATATTAACCCCAAGCAGAGTGGGGATGATGTAAAAAGCCCAGCTCAGAGTGTTAAACCCCACCTTTACATCAAACAGAAACTGATAGAAAATGCCACAACCGGTCAGAGTGTCAGAGATGCTGGTGTTCAACATAAATATAAAACGGTGTTGGGTAAAAAGTGTCCGATTGGCAATGATACCGCAGACCACAGAACCTGCTACCAGGACGGTGCTGATCCCAGCAGTGACATGAAAGATGAAGAGGAAATAGTCTCCTGGGGAGTTGAAGTCAACAGACAGGGAAAGAAAGCTGCTGTTCGTTCCGATCATTGTGAGAGCAGATTAAGGCCTATCAAACTGGAGATCACTGCATAAGCTGTTTAAAATCCAATTGCTTTTGGTCGACTGAGGGGTAATAAAGTGTTTATTATGTAGGAGGGTATGGGGTGCCGACACCGCATGGGGAGGAGACTAAAAAGCGTGCAGTCGTGGTAAAATGCACGTAAGGCTTGTAAACAACATAGCCCATTTTGAACGTAAAAGAAGTGATGCTGTGCTTTTGATTTTTTTGAAAAGAGTGGGTTCATGTTTTAAATTATGCAGCAAGTTCTAATGGATGACGTGACAATAACACAAGATAATAAAACGGTTCCAAATAAGGGCGTCATCAGGAAAGAAAATAGTTGTAGTACACTGGGAAAAAAACCGAAATCTAGATAAGTCATTTTTTCTTAAAATAAGTGCATTTGTTCTTGGATTGAGGAGGTAAAAGAAAAATTTTCCTAAAGGAACAAGACAATTTACACTTAAAATAAGAAAACGCATTTGCATTGTCTTATTTCAAGTTTATATTATCTTATGATCTTATTTTAGGAGTACAAATACTCATTCCATTGGCAAACTATGTCATTTAACTACTCAAATTAAGGTTAAATACACTTAATTAAGAAATTTTTACTTATTTCTAGATTGTTTTGCACTGTACATTTCTCTTTAGAAGTAAAGAGAAGTGTACGCAGAGAAAGCCCACAGAAGTGTCATATTCCTATTTTTAACCGAGTCCACCCATTTAAGCGCTGAATCAATTCAAATGCTATGTTAAAGCCTCAGTGGTGATTCAGCCTGGTTCTTCAGAGAATCACTAGAATTGGTTAATTCAAATGATTCACTCAAATGATTCATTCGCTAAATGTTTAGTTTCAAGTATGTGCATTTTCCTTTCCTTTAAAAATAAGGAATAAGCATGGACTTGTTCACCATTAATGTCATTTTGATAGAGCTTCAAATGCATTTTGTGTCCCTTTCCATTTAGAATATGGCTTTAATGATTTTATTGTGTTCAGTAAAGTTAAAATAGGATCAGACGGACTTTTCAGGGTATAACCTTACCTTCTAAAAGTTATTGTAACATAATAATACAAAAAGAATAATTGAACTTATATCGGAGAAATGTATCTCTTCATTTAAACCATCCCCTTGGGGAGCAGTGGGTTGGGTTCGTGGGGCGCCCGGGAGCAAAGGGCCTTGCTCAGAGACCCAGAGTAGCATTCTGGGGTAGTGGAGCTCGAACTCAGAACCTCAGGATTCCAAGATCTGTGCCCTAACCACTAGGCCGCACTCTCACTGGATTTATTTGGCTCAGGTGACAAAAAATAAAATAAAAAAAAATGCTACAAGTAGGCCTATAGGTCTACTTCTCTATATGAATTTTCATAAAAAATAACGGAAATAAACACTTTCCGGGTCGTGTTGATAAATTATTCATAACATAAATCAGTGTACTATCTATTGTATTCTTATATCCATCCTATCTAAATTCATTGCTGCAATATATAAGTGAGTGACACAGTACCCCTCTCAGGTGTGATTCATTCACATTGAGATTTCTCCGAACCGCAACACAGGCTTATCAATCTTGGCGTGAAAAAGTGGCCTGATTTGTACACTTAGGAGGAGGGTGAATCAGCTCTGCAAATATCTCCTCCTCGGTGTTGTGGGATCTCGAATCATGATCTGATCTGTGCAGCCAAGGTAGTGAATCATTACGGTCACAACCCCGAGCAAGATTGATTCAACCCGCACTAGTTCCGGTAACTACTTAGTGATTCAATCCTCAGAAGCAATTCTCTGTGTTTAGGTTGGCTTGACAAATCTCGAGTAACACATGCATTAGCCTATTTGAGTTTCATGGAGCTCACCCTGACTAAAACTGAAATGAGGAGGTGATGAATCGGTTGATGAAAGTGATTCAATTTTAGTTTGATCACTGGAAAGTTTTTTGAAAGAATCATTCATGAGTAACTCAACACTATTTTCTATTAAACATTAGTGACCAAAGAGCATCAGGAAGAGATCACATTTAGATACATTTGTGGGGTAGTCCACTGTTATTACTGTTTTTATCTGACACAATAAAACTGCAAACTTACCAAGAAATGCCTAAATGCAGCAGGACAACAGCAGAAAAGGAGTGCTTTAATCAGAAAATCATCTAAGAGAATGAAGTTTATAAGAGCAGTTTCAGTGAGATATAGGTACGGTAACATAACACGTTAATATGAGAGTTAATGAACTCTAAAATATCCTGCCCTTGTGGGAAAATACATTAATTACCAAAGTCAAGTAGCATTAGGTCCTATCTGGAATATAACAAACAGGCTGGACCTAGGACCATTTTTGTCAACATGAAAAACATTATGTGGCTAAAAGGTAATGTTACATATCGACCTATGTTTTCCGTTTGTGTTATCAAATATTATTGGACGCCACGCTTATCTGTGTCCCAATTATTATTATTTTTTAGTAGATTTGAAGTGTGTCCGCGACACAGAGGAGCTCTCCGTGGTACTGAACCTTAACATTTCTAGTACGTTCATGCTGCAGCCTGAAGTGACCCAAATAAGATGTGTTGCCATGTGACCTGAATCTGATCTATAGTCTAAACAGACCAGATTTTTTTTTTAAAGGCAATGTGATCCTAAATCCAAAACACATCTCAATCTGTTCAAATGCGGCCTGTGTCTGAACAAACGAGTCGCTATCTATCTATTACTTTTATGTGATTGAGCGATAAATCTAATTTGGGCAGTTCTCGACATGCAGAGCAGTTGTTTGCAAAGCAAAACTAGTTTTTAAGGTTTTGGTCATTTCGTTCAAATTTAAATAAATGATTAAATATGAATACAATCCAATCTATTCAGAGCTATAGAAACATATGTAGGTTAAATTAAAAATAAGTTACTTTTAATGGGAGCTATGAACACGAGGTTATGGCAGATTGTAATCTCTCCAACTAAGTTTAAATAGTATCATGATTTACTTTAAAATACGCAGGATCCGCTTATAATATATTGGTGCAAACGTTCTTCATTGCTGGGATTTTTAAATTCACAAAGACGTTGCTTGAAATTTCCCGTCATTTCAGAGCTGGTCACATGACTGTCATTACGCATAGTTTTTTTTATAAGGTTCTGGGTTCAATTCCCGACTTTTAACATGATCAACCAGCATCCCTGTTATGCAATTATCCTCACACAAAAAAAGAAATTAGAAAAAAAAAGAGAGATCAATCGTTTGCCACATCTATTGTTTCATTTTCGTACATGGTATTACAATTCCACAGTTCTTCAAATACAGTAAATAAACGAGATATTGAGCCTTTTCCTTGTGAAACCTGGCTTTATACCACGTCTATCTTCTTTATGGTAGCTTTGATGGTGAAGGTGTCTCCTTAAAGGTCACTCCAGTCACATTAAAGGCCACTCTGTAAAACAGCATGATAACACCGTGTTAAATGTGTATTTTTGATACATGCAAGAATAAAACAAAATGTTAAATAAAAAGAATTTTTTTTAAAACTCTATACCTCCCCCTTCTCCTGGGGCATACCCTCCGCCACACTGTTCTCCACACGGCCGCCCGTAGCGCAGGGCTACCCCAGATGTACACAGCTGGAGTGACCAGCGCATTCATCCGGGCCATGGTGGCAAAAAGATTAGTGGCTTCATTTCTGAAACTGAGCCCTTTTCCAGTCAGCTGCCTGACAATAATGTTCACAAAAGAAGGACCCCAAAGAGCCAGGAAGCATATGACCACAAACACAATGATGCGCAGAGACTCCTTCTTGCTATCCCTGTCTGCGCTGGGTGCCTCTCTCACCAGTTGGCCCCTGGCTATGATATATAATTTAAACGTCATGACCACCTTAATGAGAACTATGACCTGCAGGGTCATCACACCGAACGCGTGTATCTGAGCCGCCCTAGAGATGGGCACTAAGTTCTGCACAGTCAGAATCAGATAAGTATAAATCCAGCAGAAGCTACACATAGAAATGACAGCAGGCCTTGTTATGTAGCGGTTATAGAAGAAGGGGTGACACACTGCAAGGTAGCGGTCAAACTGGGCGAAAAGGAAGGTAAGGACATTTACACCGAGGAATGATGGTAAAATGTAGAAGGTCCCGTTCCTGGAGGGGTATCCCTCTTTCACGTCGAAGAGGCCGAGGTAGTAGACCGAGAAGCCGGTCAGGGTGTCACTGATGCTGGTGTTCAGCATGAAGATGAACCGGTTCTGGCCTCGCAAGGATCGGCTGGTTGAGATCCCGACGACTACCGAGCCGGCCACCAGCACAGCACTGGTGGCGAACAAGATGTGGAAGATGAACACGAGGAAATCTTCTGTGCGGTCGAAATCCACCGACAAACAGACGGTGGTATTGAGGAGCATTCTGACGCTCCAAGAAGGAGCAGCGTTTGACTTTTTTATAGGTTGAACTGTGTCAGGGGTTTGTACTCAAGCAAAGCCCCAGAGATGAAGGGAATGGGAAGAGTTTAAACCGAAATAGATGGGGAGCAAACAAAGCAAGTAAATAAGAGTAGAATGTTGTGCAACTTTCTAAATTCAGTTTTCCCTTCTTTCTAAATACAACTGATTTCATATAATAAACCACTCTTTCTTTCTTTCTTTCTTTCTTTCTTTCTTTATTTCTTTCTTTCTTTCTTTCTTTCTTTCTTTCTTTCTTTCTTTCTTTCTTTCTTTCTTTCTTTCTTTCTTTCTTTCTTTCTTTCTTTATGCACTGTCATAAATGCTGAGTAAAGACATCTACAATGGGGCAGTTATCGACGATGATATTACGCCTTTAAGTGTCAGACGAATCTGTTTTGTGGTGAAAAATATCATTTCTATGTTTATGATGAGTAGGAAATTAACGACAGCCCCAAAGGGACACCAAATGTTTTATATTACTATTTTGCATCCCAAACATTTCAGCTACACATTAAGTAAACTAAAACAATCATGAAATCATGTTATCTTTTTACAATTTATAGTCACTCTGCTGCCCTAAAGCCCGGATAAAGCTTGCATTGCTTCATAGGGAATATTTCTTAAGGACATACACATAAAATACAAATAAATATCAAGTACTCAGGTACTGAAATGAATGTGTCATGCGTCCACAAGAGGGAGCACAAGACAATTATTTTCCAACTGACCCTGGATACATGTGAAGTAAATCCATTGGTAATATCGAGTTTCATTCAAACGTTCTATTTAATCTGTTAACTAAAACCCTAATAGATTATGTTTTAGTCCCACCTTTATTGTCCTGTCCCTTAAGTCAGTAGTTTTCAAAATTTAGGATAATCAGGGGTCATTAGAGGGGGCTCAGAAAGTTCAGAGAAAAATAAGAGAGAAGTTTTCCCAAAATTGTCGAAATATTTCTATTTCTATCATCATCAGCTATAATATTTTTTATCATTATATAAAGTATAATTGTAATAAAATACAATTTTAACACAAAAAACACAGGAATTTAACTGTTAACTGTAAGGCTCTTTTTCTGCCTATATAAGAAATGATTATTACAACTCGGCTGACTGGACACAAAGATAACCTTTCCCTTTTCCAATATACTTGTGTGAGTCTGACACAATTTATCACATTGTTGCCTGTACACATAATCACGCTACAATAATCTGTGAGAATCCTAACCATTAATTGATAACTTCTGTAGGCCAATATGAAGCCAGTTTTATTTAGGCAGAGCATTATCATATCAAAATCTGCTTTTACAGCTGTTCAAAGACTGTATTAACTTTAACTACAATGACAAGAAAAATAAAATAATGCTCTATAGCCTCAAAACAATATTAATACCAGCATTATTTTAATACCATAGCAGTTTATACCCAGTTTTTTCATCATCTAATATCTAATAATTGTGTTTGAATACTAACAGACATATGTCTTCTAGCTGAAAGAAATTCAGATTAAAATCAAACAAGTATGAATAGAAAACAAATGGTTCTTAAATGGTTGAGGCATTATATGTATGGATATGATGTGGGTTTGAATAGAATAGAATAGAATAGAATAGAATAGAATAGAATAGAATAGAATAGAATAGAATAGAATAGAATAGAATAGAATAGAATAGACACCCTACGAGCTGCCACCTTAACCTGGAGGAGTTGTTTGCGTGCCCAAATTATTCTAGAAGCTATGTTGTCCAGGGCGCTATGCCCCTGGGAGGGTTTCCCATGGCAAAAAGGTCCAAGGTGACGGGTCAGACTAAGAACAGCTCACAAGACCTATATGGATAGCCTTAGATCAAGAACCGCAACGTCGCCCGGTATAGTGCAGCCAGAGCCCCACCCTGGAGCCAGGCCTGGGGTTGGGGCTTGCATGTGAGCGCCTGGTGGCTGGGCCTTTGCCCACAGGGCTCAGCCCGCATTGACGACTTGCGCCCGCCGTCCTGTGGACCCACCAGCCGCAGAGGGATCTGTAGGGGTCAGGTGCTGTGAGGACTGGGTGGTGGTCGGGCAGGGTTCCACACAGCTCCGTATGCACAGCTTCTGGCTGTAGGGGGAAGGAGCCTGAGCTTGTGAGGGAGGTTGAGAGGTACCGGCTGGATATAGTCCGGCTAACCTCTACACATAGCTTGGGTTCCGGATCCCATCTCCCGGAGAGAGACTGGTCGCTCCACTTGTCTGGCATTGCCCCCCATCTCAGTTGTCATGTGTTGCAATTCAACCCGGTGAACGAGAGGGTCTCCTTCAACTTGGAGACTGGTCTCTCTCACCGTTGTCTTGGCCTATGGCCCCAACATCGGTGCAGAGTACCCATCCGTCTTGGAGTGCTTGGAAAGGTACTAGATGGTGCTCCAACTGGGGATTCCATTGTTCTACTGGGGGACTTCAACACCCACATGGGCAGCGACAGTAAGACCTGAACAGGGGTGATCAGTAGGTACTCCCTCCCCTATCTGAACCCCAGTGGTGTTCTGTAATTGGACTTCGGTGCTAATTACATTTTGTCCATAAAGAACACCAAGTTCGAGCACAACGGTGTCCATAAGTGAATGTGGTACCAGGACACCCTAGGCCGGAGGTCGATGATCGAGTTTGTAGTTGTGTCATCTGATCTGCGGTCACGTATCTCGGACACTCAGCTGAGCTGTGAACTGATCACCACCTGGTGGTTTGCTGGATCTGCTGGCAGGGGAGGAAGCCGGTCAGACCTGGCAGGTCGAAGCGTGTTGTGAGGGACTGTTGGGAACATCAGCTGGATCCCTTTGTTTCGCAGTCTTTAACTACCACATTTGGACGAGTTTCTCCCAGCTCCTGACGGAGCAGATGTAAAGGATGCCATCAAGCTGAAGAAGGAATCCTGCCTGGCCTTGTTGGCTAGTGGAACTAATGTGAATATCTATCTCTACAGAAATTCTTGTAAGCCGGTCCCAGCTGACAAGCCGCAGTGTCCTGAGCAGTCAATAAAGCGTTTCATTTTTTGAATACATCTGTTCTGTCTGCCTGAATTCTGGGTCCTTCTTTCTGAGCCTCGACAGAACCTACAAACATAATATCTATAAAAGGAAGTGCCACCTAAGATAATGGAAGAACAGTACAAAGTATTTACACTCTGATATTCTTTTCATGATATATGAAAAAATATCATGAATAAATATAATGGTACACTAATTTAGACCTATGCAAATAATAGCAATGATAAACAGCACAGCAGATCTGCTGGGAGCAGTGATGGTAGTCTTTGAAATATAACAGTTTCAAAATAGTGAAATAAAGTATTCATTATCTTGCTGAATACGTGCTCAGTTTTGCTTAAAATGTTTAAACTCCAAAAGTCTTTGTAAATTTTTTATTTTTTTTTTTTGGGCTAGCACTAGAATAACCTGTTGTCGGAGCACTGATGTTTCAAGCACAGAAGCTCAGATAATCTAAGCTAAAATTCTGTCACCTCCAGTTTAAGCTCATTATGAGAAACAACCATGTCAGATTAAAAGAACATTTTTTTAATTACTTTCAAAATAAAAGCCTTAATATTTCCCTCCGAAGACCATTGTGGCATAAAGATCAATTTAAGTTCTTAAAATCAACCAATTTTGGAAAATGGACTATCGCTATGTTTTCACAACAGAACCAACAAAAATTTTCATAGTAACTATGTAATTATTAAGCCAGTGAAAGGTTTATAGTGTAATTTAAGAACTGGAAATGGGTACCGTATCAATGGTGGATTGATCCTCTTCTGAAAACACAACTATGCAATGGTTTCTAAATTAGAGATACAATACTCTACAAAATAAAAGCCTTTACATTTTAACAAAGCAGATCTTTACAGTAAAAGATAAAAAATCTACCAATTCTGGAAAATTGACAGGCCTTTTAAAAAAGATCCTTATCACTGTCTTGCTGATGATGACTGGCTTACCTACTAACTCGATTCATCTGTCTAACTCTTTCCAGTTTCTCATCACTGCTCATCTGTTCCACCTGCTCCTGCCTCTGTTTAAGGTGCTTTCATCTAGCCATCAGGGTCAGGGTCAGGGTCAGATTATCCATGTTCTCTCTAGCCACTGCTCATCTGATCTACCTGCTCTTGCCTCTGCTGTGGAGGATAAGTTCAACCAAGTCACCAGCCTCAGAAAATCACAGGTTAACAGCAGGTTAGATTAGAGGTCAATGCCACATAAAGTTCTAGCTATCTGGCCACCACAATCAGCAGACCTGAAACCAATCGTGATGGTTTGGGGTGAGCTGGACCGCAGAGTGAAGGCAAAAGAGCCAACAAGTGCTAAGCATTTCTGGGAACTCCTTCAAGACTGTTGGAAGAACATTTCATGTGAATACCTCTTGAAGGTCATCATGAGAATGCCAAGTGTGTGTGAAGCAGTAATCAAAGTAAAAGGCATCTACTTTAAAGAACCTAGAATATAAGACATATTTTCAGTTGTTTCACACTTTTTTTGTTAAGTATATAATTTCACATGTGCTAATTCATGGTTTGGATGCCTTCAGTGTGAATTTTCATTTTTCATAGTTATAAAAATAAAGAAAACTCTTTGAATGAGAAGGTGTGTCCAAACTTTTGGTCTGTACTGTATGTAGGAGGATCTGTATTGCCTGTCTGGTCAGGCTGCTTCCCCATTTGCTGTTAGGAGCCTCAGAGGCCGCGCCTGTTTCCCCCTGAACTGTTTGGGGGTTATTGTTACTATTGTCCGATCTTTCTGAATCCCACCATTTTGTTTCGGGTTTTTGTTTTTTTGTTTTAGGCTTTTTGAGCCCAGGAGGGCGTCAGGAATCCGGCCTTATGGGAGGGGATCTGTCATGATCTTGGTGCTGATGAATGGCTTATTTACTAACTCCATTCCACTGTGTAACTCTGCCAGTTTGCTCCTTCCTCTATTTAAGGTGCTTTCATCCAGTCATCTGGGACAGATTATTCTTGTTCTCCCTATTCAGTAGTGAGAGTGTTTTTAAGAACTTCTTGGTGTTGCTGATGAGGTGATCCTGACCTGTTGTGTGTCTCAACCACTGAGCTGTCTATTCCTGTTCTGTCCTGTTTGCCTGACCCGGGCTCGGACTCCTGGACCTCTAAGCCTGCCTGTTCCATTTCTGATCCGGTTACCTGACCTGGCGTCGGACTCCTGCTTGTTCTCTGGGGCTGCAGCATCTGGGACATTCTGGGCAGAGCTGACTGCATCTTGTTGGCAGCTCACCAGATGGATCCTACCTCATCTCGCTATGGACTGAATTGTTAAACCAGGTTTGTGACTCACGCATTCATAATCATCTTCCATCAGATTATCGGGGGTCACTAACCTGTGTTTGTCTCCTGCAGAGATTACTGCCTGAGACACCCAAGCTGCTGCTACTTCAGATCTTCACTTCATTTTTTAATGATGTGTTTTGAGTACCCCACTGTCTGTTTTGCTTCGAATACTGGGTCATGCATTCTGAGCTGTGACAATCCTACTAACTAGTATCATTGTAATTACTAAAACCCTTACTTTTTCAGTTCAGTGGTCAGTTCAGGTACTGTGGGAATCTTGGAAGCTCTGACATTTTGCAAGGTTGGGAGATCATGTTTGAGGGGGGGCTTGTTAGTCCTTGAATCCAGACTGTGTGGTAAATCCAGAGAAAGGTGCACACACTGGAGGAGTAATGGAGCGGGCTGTCACTTGGATTTGGTACTTGAACTGAACATATGGAGGTTTTCCCCTAATCAGTGTAACTCGGTTTTTCCTTCCAGGGGAGAGAAGGTCAAGGAATCCAGTAACATAGGGGGAGCAAAGACAAAAACCTGCTAAACTCAGAGAAACAAAGCTAGGTTAGACTCAGCTAAACTAAGCTTGGCTAGAGTACCCAAAACTGGCAAACACTCTGGCGCAAGGTAGTGACAGCCCACTGCTCAAATAGTCCTCCAGATAACGATTCAAAGGTGTGCAGGGAGGAACAGCGAAGACAGGGCACCTCCTAGCGGTGGAAAAGGAAAAAACACACAAACAGGCCACACAAACTGGATTCCTAACAACCTTAAGCTGGGAATCGAATCCAGAACCTCCTTGTTGCAAAAACAAGTTGTACCCACTGCCCTGCCAAGCAGACCGAGAAGGACTACTATGGCATTTTGAAGATAGAACCCACTATAGTTTTGAAAAAAAAAAGTATCACTACCCTATGTATTTGTAGCTAATTACAATGTGTGGGTTCATAATGATGACATTATGATTCCAAACCTCAGGGTGCACCCCCTTGATATAGAAATCAAAACTACCACCTTAGACTGGAGATGTAAGCAATTACTTTTATTGGTGATTCAAGTTACCATGGCAGCCTAAGTCATGAGAAAAAAGTGCAAAAGTGGTCGGGATTTTTTTTCAAGGTTAAATGGAAGTTCAAAGCTTAAAATACATAAGACACAACTATTGTTTTATCTGTTTTTAAATTGTTAACTTTTTTTTACTCTTTATTTGGATCTTAACACTTTAACACTAGAAACAAAGAACTGGTTTGTTGTTAAAATTTTATTTTTTTATTGTGAGGTCTATTGTACATAGATTAAACAATTTTTTATAATACTTTAACAAATTATCTCCCCATAATGCTAAGCTGATTATTGTTAAATACATTTTATATGTTCTTATAAGATAGTAAGATATACCATGAGTTATTTTCTGAATTAAACTTTATTGTAATTGATTCATATAACCCTAACCCTAACCCTAACACAAGGTTTTGCATAAAAGCGAATCAGAAAAAATTTTTTTATGTTAGGAAATGTCCAAGAGTCAAAATAAACTGCTGACAGGAAGACAGAGGTGGCTTGATGAGTTCAGGAGTTTTTAATGAATGGAAAATCAAAACATTCATCTTGACAAAAGAAACAGCAGACATGAATATGCACAGGCATGGTACTGAAACTGTAGTAGACACAATAAGCTTGGCATAGTAGAGCGACTCACTTGTGAGGGGTGAATTCAAATAGATGATTATATGATTATCACAGGTGAGAACAAATAAGCTCATTGGAACGATGTGGAAAGAATAACATCATTAAAGTGGCAATAAAGAAAGGTATGAAATTGGTGGAGTGCATTTGACTAACAGGAAATATAAAGTAAGAAAACACAACTGAACTGGAACAGAACCACAAGAAAGATGTTATTGAAAAAAAGATAAGTAAAGAAAAAAGACACAAGAAAATGATAGAAAACATAAAAAACAAACAAACATAAGAATAAACAAATTAAGCTGATATGAAAATGTCCGAAATCCAAAAGTAATAACATAATATCACAATATGTGAGAAAACATAGCACTGCAAATCGTAAACCAAAACCAACATCTACAAATAATGACAGATATGTTTTATTTTTAAGTTTCACCAGTAGATGTCTGAAAAGTATGGCCTTCATATTTATTCAGCTCTCCTCTGATGAATATCTTGAGGAACTCTTTTACTATACTTAAAGCTCAAAACTTGAGCCATTACAGTTGGGTCTTAATCACTTCTGTGTATAGATACTAAAATCCTTCCCATTCCCTTTTTGCAAAATAACTCCATCTCAGTCAGATTAGATGGAGAGTCTACCCAAATATTACAAGCTGTAAACTGTAAACGTGTAACGTGTGTGTGGATCTGTGCTTTGCAACCTTATGTTTAGGTTAGGATTCAGGGTTTAAAAACCCACATCCCAAACTCTGAAGATCTCACAAAGCACTGCATAGTCCTTAACTTGAACATGGACAGAATATGACACCACTGTAAAGCTACTAAATCACAGCTGAAATTCTAAGCTATAGGACTGACCGAGCAAAGTCAACGAGCAAGCGTCTTAAGATGAGACTGGGAAAGATGCAGAGATCCACAGCTGAGATTCTGTTGCAGTTAAAACTAAAAAAAGCCATATTGGCCTTTAAGGACAGGTTGGGTTCAATTAGAAATACCCCCTAAAACATCTGGTTTTCAGTTGGCCTAAAGGACTCATAAACAAGTGAAAGAATCTACCCTGGCGTGATACGACCTCATGCCTTGAGCGTTTCACAGAACATTATGGTTAGAGTAACTAATGTATTTGCTATTTTCTTTAGCTATGTGTAGCACTAAGTTGATCATTTAAAAGAGGTTTATGTGAAAAAAGTATTTATCATTTTCCTTTCACTTTGCATTTTGCAGTTGGAAATCACAAATACTGAAACTAAAAATAACAATTGAATCCCCATGTGTATAAATAGCAATAACAAGAATTTATTTCACTAATTAGTTGCTGCTCTCTGACTTTTTTCAGCAAGACATTATTGTTCAGGGGAATTCAAGTCACGCAGGTTGAAAACTCCTATGCCATAAGTCAGATGAGAGGAAGCCAACTCTGCTTCCAGCTGCCTTAATAAAAACCTGCTGTTCCATGAAACGCTGAGGCGTTTGCTCTCTGTACCTATGACTAACATCAGCCTGGTTTTGTCTCCTGTGTTGCCTCTGACTAGCTTCGGCAATGTGTTAATGTTTCTTTTCAACATCACTTTGGCAGCTGCGATCATCTACCTGAACGTCTCTGTGTTTTTCTCCATTCTTCTGAGCAGGTCCCTGCGCAGCGAGAACCGCTTCATGTACATGCTGAGCACCTGCCTCAGCGACATCTGCACCGGCGTCTCTTATTGCTACGTCGGTGCGCTCGATGTGAAAGATCATTACAGGTCCCCAACCCGAACGTTTTACATCGCGCCTACATTCCTGGGCCTGTCGTTCATGGCAATCCTAGCTGCACAGGCGGACCGGTACCATGCCATCAGTTCTCCCTTTAAATACTCCCAGCGCATGACCAGAAACAGAACCCTAGTTGTTATCGTAGCCTACTGGTTCTATGCGTTCTTCATCGTGGGTGTGCAGAACCTGGTCCCGGTAGGGATAGCCACCACGGTCACCGGCATTGGTACATTTATCGGAAATGTATTCGTTGTGGTTATAATGATAGGACTGAACATCAGGCTGTTCATCATCGCCACCTTCCAGCTGGGCAGAGAGCCGCCCTCTGAGGAGAGGGACAGCAAGCGCTCCTCGGTCTACCTTATACTGCTGGTGGCTATGTTTTTCCTGGTGGCCTGGATCCCCTTGTTTTGTCATATTATCGTCTGCAATTTCCTTGGTACGACCTGCTATTCATTTAGGAATGAAGGCACTGATCCCCTTCGGATTTTGCCCAGAGTCAACGCTGCGCTCACTCCTGTTCTCTACCTCAGAGGGTGCAAAGCGCTCAGAGTGGCGCTCTTTTCCACAGTGTGGAGAACCTGTTGTAGAAACAGGTGAGGTGCTGATAGTGTTTGATCATTTCACGCCTGTTTAGAGATGAGATTTATTAGCTGTAAGCAATATATTATCTCTTGTTTATATGTATTAGAAAATTATAGATTAGTACAGAATAGAAAAAAATTGCCTATCTAATGAGAATAAAACAATGAAGTTTAGATAATAATAATAATAAGATACTCCTTTCAGAACTATATTGAAAGCCTTTCTAGCAGACAGTTCAGGACTTTCTATTTTCTGGTGTTTTCATTGTTTGTTTTTTTGTGTTGGCTGCATTGTTGGATGATCCAATCTCTTTTTCATTCTCTTTTTCTCTCCCTCTAAAGGTTGCTTCACCGACAGCTTGGTCCATCTAAGTATCCTGTTCCAGCCTAATTTAGCAGATGGATTTTTAGGTCAGCACTCTTTGTACGTCTTCCACGTCTGTTTCTTTAGTAGCTACTCTTTAAAAATTCTAAAGGATATTTTAAGAATGTGTTCCAAAATGTTGTCTCAATCTTCATAAACAGAGCTTGGCATCGATGACTAATAAACAGTTATCATATTACATTTTAGATTAACTAGGACTTATATAAAATTGCTGATGGAAAAAGAAAACAAGAAAAAGTGCAGGATTTCCATACTATGCAATTTCCTTCTATAGGATCATATTTCTTCGTTTAACTTTTACAGGTTAATCTTTTCCCTGTGTATCTGTCCAGTCACAATTCCGTTTTTATAGTTATACTTTTTTTCTCTGTGTTCTGTTCAACTACTCTGACTGACACTGTTTCTCTCTATTAATAAAAAGCCACTTCATGTACTTTGTGACCCCTCCAAGAATCACACCTTGGTTTAGCAAGTGGATGGAGGTTTGGGGCAGCATTCCTTTGACATATTTCTCTTTATTTCAATTGCTTTCTTGGAAATATTTTCAAAATATTTACTACAGACACTGATCGACTGTATTTTTCAGTTAAATTCCCGGGTTTGTGTCATAAAACCTGAAGAACCTATAGAGCTAAACAATAACCTGTAATCATATTTGAATTTAAATATTGAGTTGTGAAATGCTGCTGTTTCATGTTTCGCTTTCTTCTACTTTATATTGGTGGTAAAAAAGAGTGCTATTAAAGAGAACCTCCAATTTTCAATATGAGACAAAACAACCCACCAAAAAAACACTAAAGGGCTTCTTTAATTTGAATTTTGCTAAATAGCATTTTTTTTTTTTATCACAGTACTATTTAACAAAAATATTTGCGACATAAATGTTCCTTTACAACCCAGGATGTGTCCAAATGTCAGCAGCTGACTTTCATTTTCATCAATATGTGATCTGTTTGAATCAAAAAAAAATTTCTATTAGGATTCTGACTTTTGTCAAGTTTTAAGTAGCTCTCTTTGTCCTCGATTTTCTTTATTTCTAACTCAAGACAAATTAAATTAAAAAGTCAATATAGACAAATAGCAAAATAGACATAATTTATTTAGAAAATAAATAATTTGGTCTCAATACTGAGCCCTGTGGATCTCCAATGGTTATTTTCTTATGTCCTAACTCTGTATCATTTTTTTTATCGCCTAACTAAGACCTGTTTAGTTAAGTGATTCTTCTCCAGTGGCTTATAACCCAAATCAATCACAGAATATGTCATTATCACATAACTTTATTTAAATAAATGAAAATGCTAAGTTTGATTAAAACGATATACTTTTTTTGAATTTTTTTCTCAAATTTATTACTTGCTATTTTTGATCATATTGTGCATTCCAACATAACAAAAATGCTTCTATTCTGCGAAATAATTTGAAAGTTAATTTCTGCCTGATCAGCAGCATACGTAGAAGTAGCGCACACAAATGCAGCACCAGCAAGATGTAATTTCAAGTCTGACCACACGAGTTCAGAAGAGACCTTTGGCACGCAGCCATAAGATCCAAAACAAACGTCAGAATCAAGAAAGATCATGTTTGCATTTTATAAAACTGTGTCACAATTGTATTTGTTTAGCAACAGAGAAAATTAATAGTTGCAATATGACTGTTGAAAGGTTAATACAGACTTTAAAAGATCACATCGCACTGAAGCTCATTGTGTTTCCTTTAGGATAGAGTTGCTGTTGTAGGAGGTGGAGCCTGCATATTCACACGTACGCACATCTGGTGCCCAGTCGTTGAACCCCAACGTTCATATAGGCTTATTCAATAATCATATATTTTTTTAAAAAAATATTTGAAAACCACATAAATATGTAATATATGTGGGCTACTTTCAGTTGGGTGTAAAAAACACAGTATTGTTAAATTTATGCAATACATTTTTAATTAATCTATTTTAAGAAAGGGGTTTGTCTAGGTTGCTTTGGAATAAAACTAAAGTAGTAGCCTAATCCTGAAGTATACGGAAACTGTTTTTAGCAAAAGTGGCTATTTTAAACTTTCACTAATTAAATACATCTAATTCAAACATGGGCTAGTTATTGCAACATTTGGGTGAATGTGATCACTAATTTGTAAGCCTTTCTTTTTTAAATTTTGATTATTTTGTTTTGTTTTTTCCTGACTCTATAATGAAAATAAAATATTTCAACATCTACTTATCAGGCAGGGCATGTTGTGTTACTTTTGCCAGGGAAGCAAGGTTATAATCTACTCCTTGTTTCTGTTAATTCTGTTGTTTTATGTATTTATTTCCTTTTCCCCCCTCATGTTGCAGGTAAAGTTGCCATAGGTCTGAGAAAGTAGCCATAACCCTCCCACAGTGGGGTGTGTGTGTGTGTATCGGTGTGTTTTCCTTTTTTTTTGCTGCTGCGCTCTGGGTTGGTTTCTATTCAAATGTGGGTCAGGGGTGAGGAAGCCTAACGTCATAAGCTTGCAACATGGCGTCCCGAAGGCTGTGAGATGAGCAGGAGGATGGTGAAGAACGCCTGAGAACGGACCTACAGATGTAAAAAGGTATATTTTTCAAGTGTTACTCCTCTACAAGGTGGTTTAGGAGTGGATAAACGGAGCTACTTTGGTGCGTTTATGTTTGGATCGGCTGCAGGAGTCGCAGGGGTGTTTTCCCCTCTTCTGCGGCGTGCCAACAAAAAGAGGGGCTCTTCTGCTGCTGGTTGTGCAGGCTCTACCAGGCTGCTTGGGCAAACCTGTGAAATCCCACCCTTGGTTTTGCAACCATGTTCACCTTGAGTCCTGATGTTTAATCGCAGAGCGGATCGATTGCACAATATCGTTTATTTTCGTGTCTTTCCACGAGAGATGCCCCATAGGACGTCTGTGTACAGCAGATAATTACTGTGCTGGTTGGCAGAGCGCATCACGGACGAAAGAAAGGATATCCCATAGAAATGCTTCCAGGCTAAACATATTTCTCTAATTTATAAACTGCGACACTAGAGGGAAAAAATCAGGTTGGCATATGTGACCAATTAAAGTAATTGTTTTTGACAAAATCGCATCAATTCCACGGATCCTTTTGCAAAATAGAATTAAACCCCCCGCGTTTTTACGCACTGTTTTTGGGCACAGTTACAACCTAATCACGTGTAAGTGTTGCAATGTTTATATGTAGGTTAAGCCATCTTCGTCTTAGGTAGGGCCAATTAACAGGATTGGCGTGCGTGTGCGTTCAGCATCACGTACAACTTATAGTATGAGGAATCTGATTAAAATCGTTTGATCGTTAGACAGATGTGTTTCTTTTCTTTTTTTTTTTCGATTGCACTATATAGCTTGGGTTATTCATTCCGTGGGTGTAACGTTACACTGACGCAGAAACTGCAGTGGTTTGTGGAAACAGTTGCGCATGACTTGGATTTCCGCGTGTAAACAGAATCCTTTAGTCCAAATCTGATCAGTGCGTGGCTCGTATGTTAGATTTTTTTATATATATATATATATATATATATATATATATATAATTTTAAATCATTGTTTAGGCAATGCAGATTCCAACAATGTATGTGCTCAGGTGTAAACTGAAGGCAGCTTTGCTCCCAAGGTGATCAGTGTCTAAGTACCAAGGGGCATGGCGATAATAAGGCACAGGAATGTCAGATATGTGTGCTTGCCTTGAGTGGCTGCTGTTTTTCTATCTTGGCGCTTTAAAAATTTCCACCTTAGGTCTACTTTTTGCTTTTGATTTCTGCTTTAAATGAGCCTTGGTTTTTAAATGTTATGAAAAGTGTAGAATGCTATGATCTCTTTTTATTCTTATTTTTTATCTTTATTATATTGTGTAGTTGGATGTGTGTATATATTATATAAAAACTGTAACTGGAGCATGTAACAAAAGTAATTTCCCTCTGGGATTATTAAAGTATTTCTGATTCTGATTGACTAAACAACAGATTTTCCATAAAATGGAAATTTAAATAATATTTCATGTTTGTCAGAGTTTCTGTTTGTCATGTGCCCCATTTTGTGTGTGGAATGTTTTTCTTTCTGAGCAATACAAAGTTATATCTTTCATTTCAACTAGACAAGAGCCTGGCTCTAATGCACTTTTGAGTGACGCAGCTCTAATATTACAATTATATATGCATTATTTAGGGTTTTATTCACCAACTTATGCCAAAGCTTTTATATATATATATATATATATATATATATATATATATATATATATATATATATANATAGATAGATAGATAGATAGATAGATAGATAGATAGATAGATAGATAGATATAGGCTATATATATACACCCCCAACAATAGGAGAAAAACAATTCAAATTTTAGCCAGTAATTTAAGTCAGGGTATCTGCGCAACCTTTTAAAAGGCATGATAATCAAGACTTTCCAGCTGTTATTGTGTTTTTGGCATGGGTGCTTCTTTAGCTATCTTCTCCATAACTGACCACATCTTCTGTATTTGGTAATATTCCATGAGAGTCTGATTGTTATTTTCCCTTGTTTCCTTATGAAGGAAAACATGGAGGCCTTCACTCAGCCAGCTGACTGGCAGTAACAGGTGGGGGAGGGGCAACCTTGTGCCACTCTATGTCTAGATTGGGAGAAAACCCTGATCAATGCAGGATGATCTCTGGACTCTCATCAAAAAGACTTTAAACCTTATCAATTCTGTGTTAAAATTAAACTGTTTTATGAGCTATAACTTATTGAAACCATAGTCTATCTTGATTAATGTAAATGATTCAGGCCTTTAACAGACATGATGCAGCTTAACAACTAAAGCTTTAAAGCAGTATTGCCTAAGTACATAAGGCATCTGTAGGTTTCATCTCTTGCATCACTGGAAATACTTCAATCAAATATTTCTTTCTGGTAAATTAAGCAATATACATGCTCCTTTTCTGACTTTTAAAAAGTGGTGTACATCAGCATACAGAAGAGGTGCACTGCTGCTCTGGTGCTTCAGACTCTCTCTTGCAGACATTTCATTAAAATGCTGTTAAACCTTTGGAGTGATTTGGCAAACTTTAGCTATCTGTTTTGAAGCCTTAGTGTTTCTTCATGCCAGAAATCAACCAATGCATATTTTTATTAACATTCCATTAATGCCATAACCTGTAATATGAGGAAGAATTTTTGTTGGTCACACCCAGTCAGAGGAGCGATTGAATTTATCAGTTGTTTATGCTGTTAGCCTGAGAAAACGGTTTTGATCATGTTTTTTAATAGGTTCCAAGGTTAGCAACATGTTCCGAAGTCAGTATTAGATGTATGTAAAACCTGTTTTGAGGGATACTTTTACGCAGATCTTTAAAAGGCTGTAAGCAGTTATCTTTAGCGTATGTTTATTGCCCAGCCATTTTACCACCCACTGCAGTTGCAGTCAGATAATTGAGTGACCTCAGAGTGAGGGTCAAAACCATTAATCCAGGCCCTCAAAATGACCAAGTCAACTGATCAGTGTGACATGTTTCATTGATTACAGTATGGAAAACAAATTCTGACCCGGCAGGGTAATGTGAGGCCTGTTTGTTTGTGTCCCTCATATGATCCTCATGATCACCACACTCTTCATATCCCCTCCTCTCCTCAACATGCGCTCAGCATCCTGCATGTTCAATGCAATCATGGCTTACCATGGCATGTGTGGGCAGCACAACACTGTAAGAAGGCTGCTTAGGCTATGTGTTCTGCTGACATGTTGGACGAGGACTTATAGATTGTAGATGCTCTGCTTTGGCTGTTCATGGACAGTGCTGTTTGTTCAGTAAATGTAAACACCTCAGGGAAGGGTTATTGTTCTGCTTGAGGAAAAAGAATGTGGAATGAAGCACTGATAACCAGAAGGTTATGCACTATCAAAAAG